ATCTCTCAAGTACTGGGCTCTCAGTGACTCCTGGCAGCGAGAGAAGCTGTGCTTCATGTCGCACGGTGTGGCCACTGCAGTCCTGGAGGCCGCGGGGATTTGGGAAGCGCGCTTTAAAATAGTGCTAACCCAGCATGATGCTCTCAGCACAATCTTTTGAAAGCTGCGGCCACAAACTCTGATAGTACTGTGTGAAGACACACAGACGTAGTAAGTATGCCAGTGCCTTTGGGCAGTTATTCATTGGTGAGCTGTCTTTTCAGGAAAGGCACCTGTGCATTGCTAGCAGTAGCTCTGTGTAGAAGAACACATAGCAGAGAGAGCGGCGAGCGGGGCCTCTTCGTCTCCCCTCACTATATTTCTCTTTGCGGTGAGGAGATATGCATTACAAAGCGTACCACCTTAATGGTTCTTAGGTGCGCAGGGCAGTGCTGTTGGGTGTATTTACCTCCCTGTGCGAGCATCACTGATGTACTTTCCAGTGAACACTGACAATAATTCACTGGCTCATCGTGAAGCTGCTTATATGTTCGTGGGTTAACCTGTCCTTTGCTCACGTAATGGCAGGATTTGGGCTGCTTGGCTTTGCCTGCTCTTCTCCGTAGTAACTGAGGGCGTGGCTAGCCTGTACTGTGTAAGGGAATGCTGTCCCCCTTAACTGGTTTGATTAGAATTTGAAAGAGTTGTAGTGGGGTCATCCTTCTGGCTTAGGAAGGGTATGGTTCCTGGGTGTCTGGAAAGATTGCAGTCATCTTGGTTCTGGGAAGGAAGCTTTCTAGCAGTTAACGTCAGCTGGTTGCTGATGATGAGACGGCTCCAGGAGGAGGAGGCTGAGCCGACTACATCACCTCAGTGCCTGAACTTTTCAATGACTTGGTCCACTGATGTAGTCACGAAGCCGCATTGGCATTTTCTTCATTGTTGTCGGCTGTTGTTTTGTGAGAAGCGGCCGGCCTCCGGTAGTTTGGAGGATACCCAGCAGGCACCCCTCCATTTCGTCCTGCTCTGTCACTCACTCTTAAGTTCCTCACTCATAAAAAGTGTCAGCCTGTGTTACAGATTTTTTGTTGTTGTTGTTGTTCAATATTTATTGTCCTTTATCTTTCGTTGGCCATCTAACTGATAAAACATCACATTTACTATTGTAGCAAAATGAGTCTATATGGCTTAGTTCTGGCCAAACAGTTGAAAAGGAAATCCTTTTTTATGATGTGCATAGGAAGGCTGAGAAAGGCTGCATTGGCTGGGGGCTGAGGTCTTTTGGTCTTTTCTCCTTTTTTTCCTCGGAAGGCTCCTTGGAAGCCATGTTGCATTGTAAGCTTGCATATGGTACACTAGCGTTTCCTAAGTCATTGTGCCACCCTGTTGTCTTCTGGACTCGAGAGGGAAGGACAGGAGGACCCTTCAAGGCTGCCTTACAGAGAAGCTCTTCTGGCTAAAACCATTCTTGATTGAATTCTCTGCTAGTGTACCTGAGCCTAATTCAGTTTGTTCTCACAGCCTGAAGCATAGCATGCAGCCAGCAGCACGTGCATTTGGCTTTACAATGGCAGTTCTGGGCCTCCCCTGGGAAACTCGGTCTTTACCTGAACCATCACACGCGGTGGGGCTCCTTCCCAGGTACCTTCTTCCACCTAGGCTGAAACCTGAGTAGGTTGTACTGAGATTGAATTAGCCAGGCACTCAGCAAAGCCCAACAACTTTGATGTAGATGGTGTCACCGGGTCCCTGACATGCTGCAAAGTTCCCAGACATTTCGTAGGGTTCACAAGTCAAATTCTGAAATTCCCTGTCCATTTCAGGTATCACTGCGCTGGCACATTGGTTTCTTTCAATAAGTAACATTTCCATCCACCTATCTTGCCATTTTGCCAGGAACTTGGGTTCATTTTGACACTTTCCTTGCTTCCAATGTCCAGACAATTTTGCAGCCATAGAAACTTTCTGTAAGATATAGCTGTTTCCAATGTCACCTTGGAGAGTTAAGGTATGCCATTTCTTTTCAAATAGCTTTCCTCAGGACTCTCCTCCTCCATACAGCTGCTAGAGAGAAATCTCAAACCAGATCATATTCCTACCATGCCTTTAAGGCTTGTTCTAGCATGGAGATGACAGCTCCAGTGCTAAGCATGGCCTCCGAGGCTCTTTATACCTGGGCCCTGTCCGTACTTGTCCACAACTACGAATGCACTTCCTGTCTCTCTGGGTTTTCCTATTCTGGACATGTTGTATGAATGGATGACATCACATGTAGCCTTCGTGACTGTCCTCTTGGCATGATGAGTTCACAGTTCGTTGTTCTGTCGGGCATGTTGTCCTGTGTTCTTTTCCACGGTAGGTTACTATTGCGCTGTGCAGACACATGCACTGTGCTTACTGGTTCAACAGCTGGTGGCTATTTGGGTTGATTCATTTTGTGCTGTTATGGAGAACGCTGCGATGAACACTCATGCACAAGTATGTCTGTGGATATATGTTTTCATTCCCTAGTTACTTTCTCTGGGAAGTGCTGACTATGTATCTATTCTGTCCATATTGGACTCTCTTTTGGAGGGGTATGCTCAGTCGGTTTTAAAAATTTATTTAGTGTGTGTGTGTGTGTGTGTGTGTGTGTGTGTGTGTGTATAGGCATGAGTATAGATGAAGGTCAGAGGACAACTTTCTACTATATGGGCCCTGAGTACTGCATTCAGGTCATTGGCGTGGAGCCAGGCATTATCATCCACTGAGCAATCTAGCTGGCTGTTTTAGTTACGCCTTTATTGCTGTGATGCGCCAACCAAGGCAACCTATAAGAGGACATTTGACTGGGGGCTGGTTTCCAGCATCAGAGGGTTAGTCCATGTCCATCACGGCACTTAGCATGGGGCAGGCCTGGCGTTAGAGCAGTAGATGAGAGCTTACATCTTGATTCACAAGCATGAGGCAGAGAAAGAGAGACTGGGCCAGGTAGCCCACCTCCAGTCACAAACCTCCCGCAGTGAGGCCGGCTAATCCTTCCCCCCGGAACAGTTCCACACTAGGACCAAACACTCAAATATACACCCTTTGTTATTCTTACTCAAGGCAATCCACTGGCCCGAGCTTTGCTTGTGAGGTAGGACCTTGCTCTGCAGGCCTGCTTGGCTTCATACCATGTGTTCAGGACTTAAACCCTCAAGCCTCTTGCCTCAGCTTATGGGATTCTGGGGTTCTGGGCCTCAGGCACTATGCCGGGCTAGGTTTAGTTTTTGTGCTTTGAGTGTGTTTGTGTGGGAGGCTGTGGTGCTGGAAGGCTTGGCTGTTTTGTAGGGCCCTAATTCAATCTCCAGTTTTCCCTCCCCTTTGCCTCTAACTCTCTCCTCTGTAGACTCCCTTGCTGATTTTAGTAGGAAATGAACCTTTCAAACTGCCCAGAAGTTATTTGGAAAATGTCTTGAGGGTGGAGGATGGACAGTAAAACAATGCTTATCTGGGGGTTCGGCCCTCAAATGGTGCTCTTTTCTAACAGGAGAGTTTATGGAGTAGGCTTATTTAGCTGCTTCCAGAGGGTTAGCATACAGCTCTCAGGCCAAACAGACTCTTAATTACTGCACTCAGCCTGAACGTTTTAAAGAATCGCTTTGAAGTTTCCTGGTACTGTTACCATCATTAAACCTTCACATGTAAACATGTGTTGTGAGTTCGTGAGAAATGTGTGCACATCGTAATTGCTTAAAAAACTGTTGGTTGATGATGCGTCTCCAGTGAATGATTTGGTGTGCACACTTGGGGAAGTGCCGAGCTCTGTTTTAGAATGCATGGAATACGAAAGGATTTTTGTGGGCGCACTAACACGAATTCACACGTGTCTTCGCCCCCTCCCATCAGGTGAGGAACCACATGAAGTCTGGCATTTACTTTCGGCGGGCTATTTTTAGAATAAAGGTCGCCTCTCCTGCCTCTCCTGTGTAAATTTAACCTGCGGAACAGAACAGAAAACAGGGTCAGCGCGGCTTAACTACGCGCTCCCTTGCCCTAAGCCGTTCGGCACCGACAGGAGGAACAATGCTCTAGAAGCTGCAGAGGCGACGCCGAGGTGGGGATGTTGAGCGCTCCGGGGAGGACACCGAGGGCGAGCGCCCAGCCTTGCAGCCCTCGCGCGGCACGGCGAGGCGACCTTCCCGGGTACAGATAGATGAGTCAACCATTTCCGCCCGCCCTCCGCGACCGAAGTCGTCTGACCGCGGGGCCGAGCCCTGCTATTAAGACTCCTTCCCCTTCGGTCGGGCGCCCGCCTCGACGACCCGCCTGAGTCACCTGGACCGAGCGAGCCGCGGCGGGGGAGGCGCAGGGCGGAGGGCACGGACCGCGCGCGCCACCGCGGCCGCCTCGGAAGGAAGAGGAGGGGCGACGGCGCGTGGGGAAGAGAAGGAAGAGGCGTCCGGGGCAGGGCAGGCAGGGAGGGGAGCCGAGGGCGCCGCGGAGGGAGGCAGGGGCGTGGGCCGGGGGCGGGGCGGGCGCGCCCGGGGCGGGGCGGCGGCGGGCTCGGCGGCCGCCGGGGGCTGCCGGGATTGGGGAGCCGCGC